TTTAGTAGAATTGTTTGTGAAACTCTTTTGATAAATTTGAATTAATATGTTGTGATAATATATCGAGTAGAAGATGTCACACTCCATAGAAATCATTTCTTGGAAAACCTATACAAAACCATTTACGAAAAACAATGTTTCTTAGGAATTAGTTTTTAAATGAAAAACCAAATGCGAGAAACATTCTCGATGTCAAATTCTCGAGAAAGTAAAAATTTTGTGTATCAAATGTTCCCCTAAAAAATGAATAATATCTTTTAAAATCTAAACAGTATTTTAGATATTTAAATTTAAATTTTTTTTAAATAATCATTTATTTTAAATAACTAATAATTTTAATAAATAAATATTTTGAATATATAATTTATATTAATTAAAATTTATAATCGATAAATACTTTTAAATGTATAAACTATATTTTAAATTTATAATAAATAATTATATAATGATACAAAACTGTCTTAACTATTAATATTTTAAAGTATTAATATAACTTAAATTTATAAATAATAACTTAAAAGGAGATAAAAGATTATTTTTTAAAAGAAATACTCTTATTAAAAAAATTACTTAAAAGATTCTAATTACAAAATAACTCTTTAAATTCTTCCTTCTAAAGAATTATTCTAATTTTTATGAGTATATATGATAACTAAATAGACCCTAAATAATACTATCGACATTTGACACGATGCACGTTGGGATCCACTCAGAATTCTAAACTTCCATTTCTCCACGTCTCCCCATTGTCTTTTTATTTGAGGATTGTGAAAGGTATCTCTTTGCCTTTCAACTTAGACAGGATGAGGAATTGAAGTTACCTTTCCTTTAATTTTCAAAAACATCATATCGTTTCAAAAGTATGTACAAAATGGCTATGGATCATTTGTACACCTTCCCCTTATAACCATCGTTCATAGTGCATTCAATATTTAACCAACGAAAATTCTAGCATCAAGTATTAAATCACGTGGTACATTGATCAAGTACTAGAATGTGTCGTTGTATATATTTATTGAGTTAATCACCTATATATTGTTAATATAAAGTTTTTTTACACTAGCAGTCAATCAAAGCCGTTAATAGTACTTTTTCATCTGCTCATTTAATTAAATTAAAATAAAAAAGACACTATTAACAACTTTGATTGACTGCTCGTATAAAAATTTTTACACTGATAATATATAGGTGATTAACTCATATTCATTTAATATTGAATGGATGAGATTCATTATCAACAATTTAGAATTTAAATTTTTTTTATATTTTGCAGTTTAGTCCCAATATAAAAATCAAATCTAAGCACCACTTAATTAACACTTTGTCCATTTGAAACCTTAGCAGAGTGCAAATTAAGTCCGTCTCATATTTGAAGTGATAATTTACCACTGATCATACAAAAAAAAAACAACTTTTTGACAACATTTAAAAAGTATTATATAATTATATATAAATGTTATTAATTTACTTTTATAACATATTATCAAATTTTGTATATAATTTATGTTAAAGACTTTTAATAATAATTTTACATAATTAAATAATATTTTTTTAAATATTATTAAAGTGATATTTTTATAATATTTTAATATATATGTTACCTTCAATTATATGTTATCAAAGTTCATTTATTTTAAGTATAATTCTATAGTTATATATATTATTTACGTGTCATTCATTTACTTGATGTGAAATTTTAATTTTAAAAAATAATTAAAAAACAAAATTGAAAAAAAAGTTGTTATTCATTTTATAGTAATATTTTTTATTTAAAATATTAAAAAATAACCTATTTATTTAATTTATAGTAACATTTTAATAAATATAAAGAAAAAAATATTATTTAAAAAGTAAAATGTAATAGTTAGTAGTTATCTGCTGGCACTTGATCAGTTGTTAAACTCCGCATGGATGTACCGACCAGTTACCGCGAACTTTTTGTAGACTTTCTAGCGAATCACCTATTTCAACTCTCGTAATTGGATTTTTATATCTAATTTTTATGAGGGTCTATTTTGCAAATACCAACAAGTTGCATAACCTGCTACCACCAGTCAAGATCGACCCTCATCGGACACCGATGTACCATGAATTTGGATCCTCTCCTGCAATTTTCTCTCTCCAGCCTCTCTCTTGCAACATTAATAGCCATTAAATATATCTAATGGTCCAAATTTAATCTTATAATTAATGTAACTTCTTAAATGATTAAATTTGAGTCATTAGATATATCTAATTGCTATTAATATTGCAAGAGAGAGGCTGGAGAGAGAAAATTGCAGGAGAGGATCCAAATTGATGTACCATGAAGTCATATACTTCAATGTAGAAGCATTCTTTAATGACAAATTTTATCCTACATTTATTTTTATTATAGTACATCGATAATTATAACTTGTTCTTTTTTACGATAATAGTACTAAAATTTAAACTTTTTTTGAAGTGGAAATTGGATCTTAGATTTTCTTTTTTGCAAATTATTCCAAAAAAAATGTTATTACAATCCTAATAGCATGTACCATATTCATTTTTTTTTTTGGAAAGTATGAAAACTAAAACAAAACAGACAACTCAAGACATAGAGTCTCTCCCTAACGGTAGCAGGATAAAGTCTGGAGGACTCTTCCAAAATACATTGGAACCTAGGTTTCGTACACCCCAATTAGCAAGCGTATGAGCTACTGAATTTATCTCTCGAGGGATATGACTTACGTAAACTACCCAGTCCCGAGCTAGCATTCGCTTAACACGACGAATAACATCATAGTGCTTATGCAGGTAATCCCTATTCGTTGACTGATCTTGAAACAGTGTAACAGCTCCCAGGCAATCACATTCGTAACTCACCTTCCGAAACCCACCTTCCCAACAAAACGATAAGCCATCCTCCAAGGCCAACAGCTCGGCACGTAACGCATCACCATGTAAGGCTCCACGCGAAAAACCCCCCGCCACATACCTGCCCAATCATGAATTGCTCCACCCATCCCCATAGCAAAAGTCCCACTCAACCAACTCCCGTCCGTGTTTAGTTTGACCCACGGATGCTCCGGAGGCCTCCATAGGGCTTGCTCCACCCATAAGCGCCTCTTAGCGTTATACACACTGTTCTCCACCGTAGACAGTATCACCTTCCGACGGACCGCCGAAATCTGCCAAAGCTCGCCGTTAAAGATCATGTTATTCCTAAACCACCAAACCCACCACAAGGTGATGGATAGCTTAATAGCATCCTTGTGCAAAATAATCCCCTTCATCCACTGAAAACAATCCATTACAGAGAAAGACCACCCCACACTAAACCCTAAACCCTAAACCCTAAACCCTAAACCCCAAACCTTCCAGACGACGTTGCATAAGCTTATAGGACGAAATTCTTTGAGGCTAACCGGATGGTTCACCTTCGGAATTAACACCATTTGTGTCTCCAAGAGTGATGTGTCTGAGAACCCCAACCGAAAGGCTTCATTCACTGTACGCCATAATTCATCACCCACAATAGGCCAATACTGCTTGAAAAAGAACGGTTGAAACCCATCTGGCCCTGGTGCCTTGAACGACTTCATGCTCATCACCGCCCGGCAAACCTCCTCCTTCGTGACTGGGGCAGTTAAGGCATATTGGGCCTTAACTCCCAAGCCAGGTGGAACCCCAGCATGCATGTCTAGAGACCCTTGTTCGTTGTCAACCGAGAAAAGATCCTTATAGAACCTGATTGCCTCAGTTTTCATGACCACAGGATCCGTATTGCCAAGACCCATCTGGTAAAAACAACCCCTGTATTTTGTTCCTCCGTCTTCTCGCGAGTGTTTGAGCATGGAAGAAGGACGTGTTACGGTATCCAAACCTCACCCACTTCTCTCTAGATTTCTGAAACCATAAATACTCCTCTTGAAGACAAGTTTCGTCCAACTCCACTTGTATAGCCTTCTCTAAGCGCGACAGGCTCTCTGATTCCCCTATCTCGAGTTGTAGTTGTACCCCTTTGAGGCGACGTTGGAGAGCCTTCTTTCTAGTAATGATATTCCCAAGCACTTATTTGTTAAACTTGATGGCATCTACTCGAACAGCTTGTAACCCATTAGCAAGGGTCGGCGTGCTACGACACCACGCCTCCCTAACAATTCGCTCAAAATCTTTATGGGTGGCCCATGCAGCTTGGAACCGAAATGGTCGATCCTGAGACTTGTCCCTTGAGCCGTCACGCCGCAGTAAAAGAGGGCAATGATCAGAATAGACCCTGCACAGATTCTCAACATATGCTTCCGGAAACATTGCTTGCCACGCGACGTTGCACACCGCACGGTCTAAACGCTTTGCCAGCACAACCCCACGTTGATTTCGATACCATGTAAAGCGAAGGCCCTTAGCCCCCATGTCGAGAAGATTACAATCATTCAAAACCTCTAGAAACTGTGATGCCCTTGCCATCGAGAAGCAACCACCCCTACACTCCGTTGACAACATAATTTCGTTGAAGTCCCCAAGCACTAGCCATGGCAGCGTAATCCGTCCCCCCAACTCCTGAAGATGAGCCCAAACCTGCTGTCTGAGTTCCACCCGAGGATTAACATAAACGGCAGTACAAACCCAACTCTTACTTCCTTCAACAACCGTAAACGAGATGGCCTGAGGGTGAGAGGCAAAGTCAGAGGTAGTAGCAGAGCAAGACATCGCCATCAAAACCCAAATACCCCTGAAATGCCCCGTAGCCTCAATGCTATAACACAACTTATAGTCCATCTTTTTCCAAAAGGATTCCACCGAAGAAAATTGGCAATGGGTTTCCAAAATAATAAAAATAGACGGGTGGTGGAGCCTTACTAACTCCGAAACCCTCCTTTTACCTTTGGCATTAACAGCCCCTCTAATGTTCCAACTCAAGATATTAAAATTTGTAATCATTAAATAAGGCAAGACACGACAGATACTCACGCCAACATGGCCTCCTCTTCCAATGGCTGGTCATACTGCATAATATCCTCCGTCCTCGGTATCTCTTATCCACTGTCCTCTGACTCATGAAGTACGTTGGTCTTGCAACCTGTTTGGAGCACACTGGAGGCCAAACTCCTATTCAAGTCCCCCGTCATTCCCTCGTGCATATCTCGTGGGTCTTTGAGAGGAGGACTGACTTGCGAACTACGGGCCTTATGAGAAATCACATCTGATAAAATATTACCGCCAGCTAGAATGGACTGTGGGTGGGCACCAAGATCCTCCACTGTGCTACGTTTCTTATTATCCTTAGTGGGTCCCATTATATTTTGATTCATATTCGTCACGTGGCCCACATCAATACGGCTTGCTCCTATTGCATGGTCCTGTTCACGTGGATTCACTATCACCGCACGTGGATTTTTAAAAACCTCACGTGATTCAGCCTCAAGGTGTATTCCCCTCGTAGGGTAACTCGAAATGGCATGATTCTTCTCCTTAATTTCCGCAGTCCCATTATGAGAGGAAGATCGACCCTTGCTCAACGGTTTCCCGAGATTTTGTTTCCGATTTCTTCGTTTCACGATCAACCATTCCCTATGCGGATCTGGCGTGATTTCCCCCCTAATATGCGGAGTTGATTGCTCTCCTGTTTGAGCAACAGAATCTGCACTATGCGGTAGGTCCCCTGACGGCTGCTCCACAGCCTCCTTCTCACCCACGCCGTTTGCCGTTGACTCAGGCCTAGCTGCATGTGGACAGTTCCGCAGAACATGCCCATAACAGCAGCACGAAGAGCACAACAAATGTAAACCCTCATACTTCACGTTATACCAAACACCATTGAGGAAAAATCTTCCTACGACTGGTTCATTTAGATTTATCTCTACACAGACCCGTGCAAACCTGCCCCGTGTCATGTTCAGAGTATTAAGGTCCACCTTGACCGGTTTCCCTATGGCTGATGCAATTGTTAGGAGAACACTCTCATCATAGAACATAACTCCAAGACCTGGAAACCTGATCCAGACGAGAGTACTGTCAACCTTCGTTGCTGAAGCTACGAACTCCGGGGACCATGGCTTAACAATCAGGTAGTGATCAAAGAGCATCCAAGGGCCCCCGTGCATGACCTGTTCTCTATCCGCCTCCAAATCAAACTTCACCATGAAGTAACCATTTGACACGTCCAGCAACTCGAGACCTCCTTGAACCTTCCACAAGGCAGGCAGCCTGTCCCGCAAGGTTAAGAACCCCACATCTCTTCCTAGCAACTTGATCACTAGACACTATTCCCATGGTTCACACAAATGCTTAAGAGTAGGTGTCGTGATGCTGAACTTGGGTAGCAACCGATCTCCACCCTCAAATTCCAACGTCATAGCCCCCTCCTTAATAAGATCTCGAACAGCCGGCCACTTAGCCGGGGCACCCAGTACCTTCTCCTTGAAGGTCATTGTCTAGCTCATCTTGAGGCCCCCAACGCCCCCATTCGGCGGCTCCGATGGTGGTTGGCTCCCCATAGGCATTCCCCAAATCCTCTCCATCTACTTAAGAGGCGGAGAATACTTAGATGCTTTAATTGCATGTACCATATTCTTAATGAAAAATAATTCTTTCAAATTAATATTCTTACTTAATGTCAACATGAGATTATTTAATTTATATATATTTCTGTCTTCATATAAATGTTTACAATTTTAAATTTTATTTATTTTCAACGTGAGAAATTTTATATTTTATGATTTTTTATCATATTAAGGTTAATTTTACTTCATATTCTATATATCCATTTTTTTTGTTCTGTAACTTTCTCAAAACGTACGTGATAAGATAAATCCACTAGCTAGTGATGTACAAGAAAACATTTTTCTTGTCAATATATCTATTATAACCATTAGTCCACTACGATCCAGCGTTTTACATTAAAATCAAGAAAAATACATATATGATTTAGCATAATCTTATTTGTCCTACTAGACGATGTGACAATATGTAGGTCACAAGGATCAATATATGTTGGTTACTTTCAGCAATAATTTAATATATATATATATATATATATATATATATATATACAATTT